TTTTTAGTGCTGGGGATCAAACCCAGGGCCTTGGGCATGCAAGGCAAGCACTCTACCAACTGAACTCTATCCCCAGCCTATCCTTTCAGCTACTTTTTATTCTGCCATAAATTCTGGTCTTGGTATGATAAGGGCTTTCATATACACTCTGCCTTCTTTCAACTCTTTTCCTTCTGCAGCAGCCAAAGGGAACTTTGTAACAAGCACATGGAAACCTTAACTGTGCATTGCCCAAATTGTACCAGTGGCTTTAGGAGGTAGAGGCCTAAATTCTACCTGTGGTCTGGCTCCTGCCATCCCTTCTAGAACCATTCTACATTCCAGCTATACTGCATTTCTTTGGAACCTTCCCTTGGTCTTCCTGGTTAGGCTATCACTATACCCCTGTATAGAGAAGGGGGGCATTGTGGGCAGTTTGATTAGCATCTGCCTCCTTCTAGATTAAGCCTTATGATGTCCTGTCAGATTTGTTGCTGGCTATTGCTGTGACTAGCACCTGGCACAGAGTAAGTGCTCACTTCAAGAGTGGATAAAAGAGGCTGTATCAGGGGTGGCTGCGAGACTTCCTGTACATATGAGCTGGTCTTCCTTTCATTGGCAGGATGAGCAGCTGAGGGCTCTGGTGAGGCAGTTTGGACAGCAAGACTGGAAGTTCTTGGCCAGCCACTTTCCCGTGAGTAGGCCTCTCTGGAGCCCCTTTGTAGGACAAGGGTCTGGGTAACCAGTGTGTCCCAGGACTTTTCTTCCCATACCAGTTTGAGGAAGCCTACCAGAAATGTTTCTCAGCTACTTCAGCATGCCTGGGAGCCTTTAGGCTCAGAGACCTTTGCAGTATGTGGTCCATGGCCTATTTGCATTTCTTCTTGTAAAACTGGGGAGAATAGATGCTTCATTTTCTCTACAGAGGGGAAGTGATACTTGCAGCAGATTTCACAGTGGGGGCCCTGGAGAGCTGGCTGGTCCCTCCACATCTGAACATTTAGAGCCCCCTGAGGATGAGTGGCCCCCGCTGGCACCCCTAACACCCAGGCTGTAGGTGACTGGAGGCAGGAGTATCACTGTAGCTTCCATCTGGCTGACGGTTGGGGTTCCTCAGACAGCTCAGGGGCAGAGTCAGCAGATCCCTCTCCCCCTTTAGCTCCCTGTCTTGTATGTTATCTGAACATTTCAAGGAATAAACATGCTTCCCCAGAAAACAGGGATTCCTTCATGCCCCACAAAGCTTCTGCAGAAGGGTCCCCTGTGCTTAGGTGGTGGGAAGTGGCTTTCCACAGGGGCCTGAGTTCATCCTGTTTTATAGTAAAGGGAAAGCATGCATATTCTGTCGTGTGGGAGTGTAGCATGTGATGGGTGCATGGGGTAAGTGCACCCACCTGAGGCCCCAGGGCCCTGAGCCCAGTGTTCAGCCAGAGTCCAGTTATCCTAGAAGTTTTCACAGGTTCCTGTTCTTCCTGTTCCCTTCCCAGAACCGCACGGACCAGCAATGCCAGTACCGATGGCTGAGGGTTTTGAATCCAGACCTTGTCAAAGGGCCATGGACCAAAGAGGAAGACCAGAAGGTAACTGTTGACCTGGCGCTGCACACAGGATGGGTCTTCACTCACCGTCAGTGATCTGGGCATTGTGAGGCTGCCCTGCCTGGTGGCAGGGGTGTCCAGTTAAACGGTGGATGTGACTCATCCTGCTTGTCAGTCTGAACTGGGCCACTCTATCTAGCTCTGGCCCCAAGGCTCAGAGCCTCAGAGTCTCTAGATCTCCCCACTCCTTACATATAGGCTCAGGGCTGCTGGACAAGTTACCCGACTTTTTCCCATTTATGAAAGGAAACAGCTGCGGTACCTGCTGTAACAGTGAACAGGTGATGTGCATGAGGGGCTTGCTCAGCAGGCAGTGGTTGCTGGTCTCCTTTATTGTGATGTAAAGGAACTCAGAGCTTCTGGGGGGCCTTGTTTGTTGGGAGCACCATAGTCCTTTGAGATGGGCAGAAGATGAACTCTCAGTCCCATTTTATAAGTGGGGAGACCCAAGGCTCAAAGAGGGTTGAGGATGTGTCCACCCTAGGAAGAGCAGCACCATGACCATCCTGGGCTGTTTTTTGGGAGTTCCTCATCTGGGTCTTCTCCCCCACGTCAGTCCAGAGATTCCATTCCGTGGTTGTAGGTACAGCCCCCAAAGAAAGCAGGAAGGAGAAGGAAGCTAGATATGTTAAAATTGCTTTTAAAATCCTTTCTTTTTTCTGGTACTAGAGATTGAACCCAGGGTGCTTTACCACTGAACTATATCCCCAGTCCTTTTTATCTTTTTATTTTGAAACAGGTTTTACTGAATTTTGGAGGGTCTTGCCAAGTTGCCCAGCTGGTCTCAAACTTGCAATCCTCCTTTCTCAGCTTTTTTCATTGGGATTACAGGCATGCACTACCAAGTTCAGCTCCTTTTTTTCCCTCTTTAATCAAGTGATGTGTGGTTGCTCTAAATGTTTAAACTACACAGAAATAGATTTGAATAATTCTCACCCAACTCCCTTTGCCCAGAAGGATCTGTCTTTCTTAGTGTGCTGTGACCTATGTGTACATGAGAATATATATAGAGAGAATTTGTGAGGGGCCTGGTCTGATTCTGGTGGCTACATTTGTTGTGGTTTGTGTTCTGAGCCACGGGGCCTGGCTGAGAGGCAGTTGGGAATTGAAATCAAGCCATAGTTAGTTGTGCCTTGGGGTTCTACCCTCTTGATCTCCACAGAAGTGCTGCAGGGGATTGTGGCACCTGAGGTGTGTCTGGCAGGAGGAAGACATGTCTCCTACACTTAGTTCACATGGCTCTGCAGTGGCAGAGATCCTTGGGTACTGTGGGTTGGAGCCTTGCAGACTGGCTTGAGCTCTAAGGAGGAAGGCAGGAGGACCTTGGGGATCCTTTTCCTTTGTTTGGTTTATTCAGGCCATAACTGACAGGGACATGGACTCAGTCACATGGACTACACAAAGTCCTCTGAGCAGCATCCCCATTAACTCCCATGATACTTGAGGGGGTGTGGCCAGTTGTGCCTCTTAAGGGCCACAGTGAGGCTCATGTGGATGTGAAGATACTGAAGAGTGGGTGAGGGAAGTGCTGATCCTGCTGGTTCACAGAGACTCTTCTCCAAGGTCATTGAGCTGGTCAAGAAATATGGCACAAAGAAGTGGACGCTGATTGCCAAGCACCTGAAGGGCCGGCTGGGGAAGCAGTGCCGGGAACGCTGGCACAACCACCTCAACCCTGAGGTGAAGAAGTCCTGCTGGACTGAGGAAGAGGACCGCATCATTTGTGAGGCCCACAAGGTGCTGGGCAATCGATGGGCCGAGATTGCCAAGATGCTGCCGGGGAGGTGAGCTGCCTTCTGGGGGCTTAGGGACTGGTGCAGGCAGGGTGATGGTCCAGGAGGCAAGGCCCGTGCTTCCTTGAGTGTACTGAGGTCTTATACTCTGTTCTGTACTTTCCATCCAGCCTTGTCTCCAGGTAGCCCAGAGGCATCATTGTCAGGAGAAAAAGTGCGTCCCCCAGGCTTCCTGATCTTAGAAAGACAGACAGTGCCAAGGGAGGCCACAGCCAGAAATCAGTTTGTATTACAATCCACTGGAATGTTGTAATGAGAAACTTCAGTTCTCTTTCTCCACCTTCTACTGAAACATCTTTTTTTACTTCTGGTTTTTACCTCTACATTTATTAACGATGTGCTGGTTTCTCTTTGAATCTTGGTTTTCAGCTATAGAAGAAAATTTAGATTTCTTAGACTTTCCTACCCTTCAAACCTCCCTGTTGCCCCAGTATACTATGGAAATTTTTACTTAAAGACAAAGTGCTTATAGTATTCTAATATCTAAGGTGTTTCCTTCTTGTCTGACATTTGCTTTTCCTGGAGTTAATGTTTGCCTTGTTTTTTGATTTACAGTTTCTAAGTCTTATAGCTCTTGTGTGTTTCTTAGTGGCCCATCATGTCCTTAGAGTATCCATAAGTGCTATTTTTCAAATGCTTAGAATGAATCAGGCAATATTTTTTATTGTTTTTTCTTCAGAGAACCAATCATGGATTTATCTTTGCTTTTCCATTTGCCAGTTTCTTTCCAGGAATCCTGCCCTGTTGTGACCTTGGAGCATTCCTTTGCCTCCCTCCTGATAGCTCCCTCTTCTTTATTTCCTTCCTTGTTTTGGTGAAGCACATTCTTTATTAGGTTCCTGAGATAAGTACAAGGGAGGTAAATTTTTGGTAATGGCAGTGTCTCCATTCTACCTCACGTTTGATTGATAGCTTGGATGAATACAGAGTTTGGAAATAATTTCCTTCAGAATATTGAAAGCATTTGTTCTAGTCACTTTTTTTGCTATTGTGACTGAAAGATCTAACAAACATTTTTAAAGCAGGAAAAGTTTATTTGGGGGTTCACAGTTTCAGAGGTCTCAGACCATAGGAAGCTGCTCCATCCCTTGGGGCTCCAGGTGAGGCAGTATTGTGGCAAAAGAGTGTGGGGGAGGGAAGTGGCTCTAGATTTGATTGTTAGGAAGCAGAGAAAGGAGAGCTCAGCTCAGCTCAGGAAATATATCTCCCAAAGACATGCCCCTGAGAACCTCCCTCCTGCAGACACACCCTGCCCTACTGGCCTTTACTCAGTTAATCCCTATTAGGATTAATTCACTGATTGGGTTAAAACTGTCAGTTATGAACTATGTTCCATCTCTTGGTTTTCTGGGAGAGTTCTTTGATCTTCTTCTTTTTTTCCTCCTATAACAAGCATTATTTTATTGGTAGATTATTAGGATTACAATATATTTTGGTAAATACATCAATGTGTTCTAATTAGAAATCTTTTATAGAAAAAGCAATAAGGTATAATAAAACTGAATTCTATTCTTCCTCCTTTCCTGTATTTTAAATGTCCTCATTTAGCGGATGGGATGTTGCTCAGTTGTCCAGCTCTTGCCTAACAAGCATAAGATTCTGGTTCAATCCCCAGCATTACAAAACAGCAAATCTCTCTATATATTTTCCTTATCTATAAAATGAGTATGATAGTAAACTCCTTTGAGAATATTTTAGGAATAAAGAAATTCATGAGCACCACTTGAAACCTCGTAACGACTGTATTATGAGGTTATTAATAATTGTGGATTTTATAATTGCCATTGTTATTTTTATTCTTTTTAGACATACATGACAGAGTAGAGTGTACTTTGGCATATTATCCGTCCAGTGGATTGTGGCTTATCCTAATGAGGATCCTATTCTTGTGGTTGTACATGATGCAGAGTTACCCTTATCATGCATTCAAATACAAGGAAGGATAGGAAAGTTATGTCATGATTAACTCTACTGTCCTTCCTATTCCTCTCCCTGCCCCCTTCCCTTCATTCCCCTTTGTCTAATCCAGTAGACTTGTATTCTTCCCCTCCTCACCGTCTCTTGTGTGTTAGCATCCATGTATCAGAGACAACATTTACCTTTGGTTTTTTGGGAGTGGCTTATTCCACTCAACATAGTGTTCTCCAGTTCCATTTGTTTACTGGAAAATGCCCTAATCTCATTCTTCTTTATAGCTGAGTAATAGTCCATTGTGTGTATGTTTTGTTCTTTCTTTCCAAATCCTTCTTTGGAAATCATTCTGATTAAGAAGTCTTACCTTATAAAGTCACACTTTTGTTTACTTTTTTGATACTGGAGATTGAATTTAGGCACTCAACTGCTGAGCCACCCCCATAGCCTTATTTTGTATTTTATTTAGAGACAGGGTCCCACTGAGTTGCTAAGCACCTCGCCATTGCTGAGACTGGCTTTGAACTCATGTTCCTCCCAAGCCACCACACCTGGTACTTTCATTTTCATTTTCTGGCCCTGTTTTTATTTTGTATTTGTAACAACTTATTTTACAATTAGTGTAATATTTTTTGAAAATACTGCTCCCTTCCTACATTGTCTGCTTTTCCTGTGTTTCTTTTTGTTTTGCTAGTTTTCATTTCATTTTGGAGGCTTCTTTGAAAGTCCGCTGATCCTTGACTGGCTATTAATCTTCAGGAACCAGTTGTTAAAAGTGGTTTGGAAGCCCACTGCACACAGGCTGTGCTTATCTGCTGGTGGGCTCTGCATCATGGAGTGACTGAGTATCCACTGGCCTTGTAGAAGGACATTCGAAGAACTGATGAGTTTTTACTGCGTTGTTCCTTTCCCCAGAGATGCATGAGTTCTTCAGATTGATGCCCTAGGGCTCCAGAGGCTAGTGGAAATTCTAGATCAAGGTATAGGGGTCTCCCCTCCAGTGTTAGGATTTTCATTCAGTCCCAGTTTCAGCCTGGTGCATCATCCCAGCCCTTGGCTGTGGCCAGGGTGCCCAATCATTTCTTCCTTGAGAATAAACCTTCCTTCTGCTTGCAGGGACTTGTAAAGGTCTGTTTGCTGCTGTCTTCTACCTTGGTCTCATTCTTGGGCATTTTTGCCATATTGTGTTTTGTTTCATTCTGGTTCCTTTCTTTGTCATGGCAGTAAAGTCCTGGGAGGGAGAGGAAAGAAAGTTCCAGGTCACGTTTCTCCTGAAGTCAGGAATTTTGTTTTCATAACTCAGTGCCTGAGTATATTGTCTTTTGGGGGCGATATACTTGGGTTGGAGATGCAGGCCTCTTACGCTGAATAACCTGGTTGGCCTTGCAGATGCCACCAGCTTCCCCTTTATCTGCCGGCACCCTTAGTCACGTGGTAGTCGTTAGCCCCCCTCCCCCCAACACCATAAACTCTTCCTGACAACTCTGCTGCTCTGTGGGCCTGGAGGGCCCTGTCGCCTTGTCCCTGCTGTGTGGCTCCTGGGTTCTTGTCCTTCATTCTCAGCAGGATGGGGGTATTACTTCTTTAGTGAAGTTTTCTCTGTCCTTCCAAAACTGGTCAGGTCCTAGTGGCCTCTGGGTGGTGCAGTGCTCTACCTTTCTTCCAAGGAGTTCTACCCTAATTGCAGGTAGATTTAATGCCTATCTCCTCCACTAGATGAGAAGAAATGGCAACCATTCAGTCTCATTGGCTGACGTATCCCCAGTAACTGGAATGATTCTCAGTGTACCATGGGTGCTTCATAAATACCTGTGAGTAGAGGCGTGAGTTTGGAGCACCCTGGACTCTGACCTGGTGGGTGGGAGGGCTTGGGAGATGTTGTAGTTTGGGTTTTCTAGTGGTCAGGAACCAGAGACAAGATGCAAGTACAAGGAATTTACTAAGGAAAGACTGTCACTTGTTAGGGAAAAAGTGGAGAAGAACAGGGAAAGCATGGAGCAAGAATGGGGTTTCTGGTAAAGTCTGGTCTTGGCCTGAACGAGGCCAAGATGTGCGGGTGGGGCACATGAACAGTAGGGGTGTGTGTGTGTGCAAGGGTTGGGTAGCTCCTGGACATCTCTGGTTGTCTTCCAAGGCCATTCTCTAGAGAAAAAGTCATAGGTAGAAGCTGTTGGCAGCAAAACAGCTGCTGGGGGCTTGGTGTACTGTACACTTGGGGGATCTGGGCGAAGCACCAGCATCCCATGCCCCACATGCTGCCCAGCCAGCACTGTCCTGTAGGACCAGAGCACAAATGGCCAGAGATACAGACCCTCCTTAGACTTCTTGCTCAGTTAAGCTGTTACTCTCTTCTGGTCACATCTCAGCAGAAAAGCACTCTGCTCAGAGCCCAAAGAAGGCAGTGCTCTGCGCTGCTGGGACACTGCTGCACAGCTGGACTGCCACGGTCACCACTCGCCTGTGCACCACAGTGTCCTGTGTCTCTACATCGCATGCTGTGTGCTTCTGTACCTCTGCATGCTGGTTGTACTAACCTTGACCTGCTCTGTGCTTTTCCTCTATCGTCCTCCTCTGTATACTATTTATACCTCTGCTGATGTGTCCTCATCATCCATTAGTGATGGAACATGAAGTAGTATATTTTTTTAGATAGAGAGGTAGACAGTAAGTGGTCTTTGTACCCTCTGTGACCATTCATAAGTCTGTGAGCTGAGCAAGGCTTGCATGCAAGGTGATTGTGAGACTGATTTCAGGGGTCAGTAGTCAATAGTTTGCTTATGGATTTTGCAGATTCAAAATGGCCCAGGGATTGGGGTGAATAAGAGTTGCAAATATATTTTAGATTTTGCCATTTTGCCAGAGCCTAAATAATACATTTGTTTACTTCATAGAGATGGGTGGAAATTCTTGAGGGCTAGAAGCAGACATTGCCTTAGAGCTGTGATACCTTAGAGTTCATCCGGATATACCTTCATTTACAGAAGTGAAACTCAGTTCAGGGAGATTGCAGTGTGCCTCAGGGTGCACCAGCTAAGAGCTCAGGGGTTCAGAGGTCCTTGGTTTTCCCCTGCAGGACAGACAATGCCGTGAAGAATCACTGGAATTCCACCATCAAAAGGAAGGTGGACACGGGAGGCTTCCTCAGTGACTCCAAAGACTGCAAACCTCCTGTGTACTTGTTGCTGGAGCTCGAAGACAAGGACAGCCACCAGAGTGCCCAGCCTGCAGAAGGCCAGGTGAGATGGCTATACCATAACCCAGCCTTGGCTTCACCTCCAGTTTGTTTCATTTCACGTTTGTCTGATACCATCTCGTAGAACACCTTATCTACATCAGTTATCCAGGTTCTGCTACAAGGTTCAATGTGGCTTGTGTTTCTAGGACCTTTTCTTGTAATAGACATCTACACATATTTTTTTGCCTGCAGGCGAAGGAGAACAGAGCTGCCTGGTGTGGAGACTGAAACTTAGGCTGCGGAAGGGGCGTTCTCAGTCTCCTGTCCTCATTAACAGCTCCTTCTTACCTGTTGCTCTTTCTAGTCCTAAGATTGAAAGCAATTTTTCAGTTAAAAAAAAGAGAAAAACAAAGCAAAAAAAAAAAAAAAAAAGCGTGCAGTCATGTTTAGTTTCCACCACAATTGAGACTGAATTCTCTGTGCTGCTATTGATTGGCCTTTTTCCTATCCCTAACTTCCTAATCTGTTTTTCCTCTCTGTATTTTTGCCTTTTCTGGACAGTCATATAAATGAAACCATAAAGCCTTACATTTAAAATTTAAAAAAAAAACCAATATATGCACACGTTAATATACCTCCATCCCACACCTCAGACCAACTGTTTTTACCTGTACCTCTAGTGATGTTCCTGGGTGTGTGTGGTACTGGGAATTGAACCCAGGGGTGCTCTACCACCGAGTTATATTCCCAACCCTTTTTATTTTAAATTTTGAGACAGGGTCTTGTTAGGTTGCCCAGATTGACTTTGAATTTGCCATCTTCCTCCCTTGGCACCCTGAGTAGCTGGGATTATAGGCGTCTATCACTGCACTGGGCTCCATTTTGTCCTTATGGTGATAATGTGGGACTGGTTGTTTCACACATTGTTGTTAGTGCTGACTGTGGTTGCATAATATACATGCCAGTTTTATGTGCACCAAAAACATTATCATTGCTTTAATTTTAACTTTAGTTTATGCTTATTTTTGAGGTTTTTTTTTTTTTAATCTCCTCCCGCTTTGTTAAGACATAATTGACAGGTCTGGGGGTGTGGCCAAAGTAGTAGAGCACTTGCTTATGATGAGCTAGGTCCTGGGTTCAGTCCCCAGCACTGCAAAAACAAGCAAACAAAAAGTCATAATTAAAAAATACAAATCACATATATTTATCTGTCTACAATGGAATATTTGTGTGGCATATAAACTTTTATGTGTATACACACAATGTAATGTTTTGACTAGTTAGGGTGACTGTTTTCCCTTAATGTGTTCATTTGCCTTGACTTGCTTTTTGTTTGTCTTTTTTCTTTTTTTGATTCTGGGGATTGAACCCAGGGTGCTTTACCACTGAGCCACATCCCCAGCCCTTTTTATTTTTTATTTTGAGTCAGGGACTTGCTAAATTGCTTAGAGTTTCACTACGTTGCTGAGGTTGGCCTCAAACTTGTGGTCCTCCTGCCTCAGCCTCTTGAGTATAAGGGTTACAGGCCTTCGCCACCATACCTATTGTGGTTTGTCTTATTTCTTATTGATTTCAAATGTATTTATTCTATATATTAAAATTCTATTCCCTTTATCTTGTAGTAAATTTCCCATTGTGTTGGTAGCTTCCTCATCTATTTATTTTATAAAGGTTAGAAAGGTAAAACAGACATCAAGTCACCCTGAGTTGAGAGTTCTGCTGCTTTTGATAGTATATGTAGTTACACGTAGTTATTAGCACAATCGGTACTAATCATTTTATCAACCCCAAGTCCAAAGTGTTGTTGCCCACTCTCTCTGATCTGGTCCTCTGAAGCCATCTGCCTATTGTTTGTAATTTTGCCTTTATAAGGAGGTTGTACACATGGAACCATATACATAGTCAGCTCTCTTGTGGTACTTTTTCACTTGGCATAATATATTTAGGAATTATCCATGTTGTTGTGTTTATCTGTAGTATTCCCTTATATTGATGAGTAATATTCTGTTGTAGGGATGTACTGCAGTTTATCAATTTACCAGCTGAGGGACATTTTTTTTTTCAGGTGGTGTTTACAAATAAAGCTACTAGAAACATCCCTTTATGGGTTTTTGTTTTTGCTGTGCGGTTTGTTGAACCCAGAGCTTTGTGTATGGTAGGCAATTGCTCTGCCTCTGAGCTATATTCTTAGCTCTGGGTATGGGTTTTCGCTTGAATAGGTTTCCGTTCCTTCTATATAAATATATTTAAGTATTTATATTTAAGTATTTTCCTAACTTTATAGAAGCCACAAAACTGGTTTCCTAAGTGATGTTCTTGTTCTTTTTCTATATTTATTTTTTAGTTGCAATTGGACACAATACCTTTATTTTATTTATTTATTTTTATGTGGTGCTGAGGATTGAACCCAGGGCCTTGCATGTGTTAGGCAAGTGCTCTACTGCTGAGCCACAACCCCCCAGCCCTGTTCTTTTGGTTTTTTGTTTTGTTTTGTTTTTGATAATGGATTGAACTGAAGGGTACTTTACTACTGAGCTACATCCCCAGTCCTTTTTATTCTTTATTTTGAAACAGCATTTTGTTAAGTTGCAGAGAGTTTCACTAAGTTGCCCAGGCTGGCCTTGAACTTGCAATCCTCATGCCTTAGTCTCCCAAGCCAGTGGGATTGCAGGTGTGTGCTTGACCCTAAGTGATGGTGTCTTGATGGCAGTTTTTTTAAACAGTGTTTTTGGCATCTTCTCATCTGCCCCATTATAGATAGCATTTAAAAGTTTTTAATCTGACCTGTTATCCATCTTCTCTTTTTTTCTGTGTCAAACTGTTTTCATTGCATTCGCTTGACAGCAGTGAAATTAACAGCTACCATTTCAATCAAGAACTTTAAGTGTCCTTGCTGATCTGCATAATGTCCTTGCGTGGAGAACCTTCGTGTCCTCATTTTACAGGCATCGAGGTCACACTACTTGTCCAAAGTCAGCTATTCAGGGGCAAAGCTGTGTCTGAATCCAGGGCCTGTGCTCTCTGCCTAGCCTCATTGGTTTCCTATTAATGTGGGATCCTGCTCCTTGTTCTCCACATGGCCTTGGTTAATCCCATATGCCATTTTTTTTTTCCAGAATTTTTATTGTAGAATGAAGAAGAGTACTGTGAACCACCATGTACCCAGCATTCAACTTCATCTTTGGTAGTTGCTAACGCTTTGCTACCCTTTTATCTATACTTCTGCTCATTCTCCTGGATTGAATTATTTTAACCCCTAGATTTCACATACTTAAGGATGTATTGTTATTAGATAGTTTTTTTTCCTTAAAAGCATAATCACAAATCCTTGCACAATTATTTTCTTAAGATCATGATAGACTTAACCTGTTATGAAAAACTATCAATAATAAGCTTATAATTAGGTAGGAAATTAATATAAATTCATGTGAAAGAGCATACAGTATGACGACAACTGTGTCGCAAACTTGCCATACAAAAGATGAAATAGAAGCTGGGCACATAAATAGATATGCTTGTAATCCCAGCAGCTCAGGAGGCTGAGGCAGGAGGATCACGAATTGAAAGCCAGCCTCAGCAACTTAGCGAGGACCTAAGCAACACAGTGAGACCCTGTTTCTAAATAAAATACAAAATAGAGGATGTGGCTCAGTGGTCAAGTGTCCCTGAGTTCAATCTCTGGTTGGTCTGCATACTCCACCCCCACACAAAAAAATAAAAACATTCACTTATAATAGTATGAAGCCATAGTATAGGTTCAGCCAGTTCAGGGACTTTGACATTGATTCTGAACTTTTACCTCATGCACAGTCCATGTGCCACCCTTTCCCATATTCATTCTGGGACTGTGTATTTAGCTGTTCTGTTGCTTTCATTAGCCTTCTTGTCTCACAACATTGATACTTTGTGAAGTGTGCAATGTGGCTAGTTATTTTATAGAATGTCTCTTTTGGGGTTCATGTGAGTTTGCTTGTTACTAAATTGAAGTTGTGTATTTTTAGCTGGAAACTGCTACATAGTCTATATCTCATAACAAAAATATACCCTTGTGTCTACCAGGAAAATCTCATGACCAGCTGGCCCTCAGCATCTATTACCATAAAGGAAGAGGAGGGTAGTGAGGGGGAAGCTGTGGCAACTGCCATGTCTAAGGAGCAGGAGCCTGTCCCTGCAGAGCTGGATGGAGTGCACACCCCAGAGCTGCTGGAGGAGTTCCCCAAGCATGAAGACCAGGAGGGTTCCCCCCCAGAAACCAGCCTACCCTACAAGTGGGTGGTGGAGGCTGCAAACCTCCTCATCCCTGCTGTGGGGTCCAGCTTCTCTGAAGCCCTGGACTTGATCGAGTCGGTATGTTGGCCAGAGCAGCTCACAGTGGGCACAGAGCATCTCCAGCAGGGAGCATTTTCCTCACAGACCTGTATCTTTTCCTTCACTCTGTCATCCTACTACCATTTACTGACCAGATGTGAGTAACCACCCTGATCAGGGCCTGAAGACACTGACTTGGTCACCATGAAATTTTCACCCTCTGTTATGAGCATCAGGGTGTGCAGGGTGCACCTGACCCCTGTGGACATCACCAGGTGGGATGGGAAGTCCTTCCCAGAGGAGAGCACTACATGAGTCCTCAAGGACGAGTGGCAGGTTAACAGCACAGGTTAGGTTTCCCTCGAGAGGCCCAGGAGGTGCCAGCTTTAGGGCTGCTTCTGGAGTGATAGGTGGTCTGTTGCTGCTCAGGGTAAGCAGCCGGTCTCTGTGTAAGGTTACCGAATGAGCTGGGGTTTGGGCTCCTTTGTGGAGAGCCCCTCAGTGGGGGTTGCACCTCTTGCATCATCCAGGAATCCGGTTGAGCTGTGTGGCCCAGACTCAGGTTCTTTCCATAGTTACTCTCTGCTGCTGAAGAGGAATTGCAACCAGTGAGAAACCTGCCGTCCTCCTGCTCCAGGCCAATCCTGTGGGATGTGCTTCTGGTCTACCAGATGCTGTCAGTTCCAGGATCTCCTTGAGATTGGGGTGTGGGCCTGAGGTCACCTTGCCCTGAGCTGGCTTCCACCTTTAAGAATGAACCTCCTCTGCCTCCAGCAAGTCCCAAGGACCAGAAATGCTGCTAGGCTGAATCTACTGAGGGTCACACCTCCAAGACCAGAGCAGAGCCCCTTCTCTAGAAGCCTTTGGGCTTGCACTGTCATTTCCTGGGTAAAGGTAGAAAGACTTGAGGTGACTCGGGTCTGTTCTCAGAAGCCCAGTGCCAGTTTCTTGGTCTGAAAATAGGAAAAGTCTTGTTTCCCCAGCAGGATGTTGGGATTGAAATTACTTTAGAAGTGCCCCAAGGAGGCCACTGTGATTGCCCTTCCATTGCTCTATATTGATTTCTAAAAGTAACTATGAAAATACAGTGCTGGGGAATATAGCTCAGTGATAGGGCACTCACCTAACATGCACGAACGAGGCCCTGGGTTCAATCCCTAGTGCCACCAAAGACTCTTTGAGGAAATGCATGGAAATGTTAATAATTGGTTTGGGGCTGAGGGACCATGTTTACTCCTGAGTATCTTCCTTTCTGAATGGTCGTACTGTATTAAAAGTAGTGTAATTCCTAACCTTCCTCTCTGGCCAGGACCCCGATGCTTGGTGTGACCTGAGTAAGTTCGACCTCCCTGAGGAGTCCTCTGTAGAGGGCAGCGTTGACAGCAGCTCAGGGCAGCCCCAAGCATTATTACAGCAGCAGCAACAGGCACTGCCAGTCCGCCAGCCCGCTGCCTCGGCACCGAACGTCACAGAGTACCGCCTGGACGGCCACACCATCTCGGACCTGAGCCGGAGCAGCCGGGGTGAACTGATCCCTATCTCCCCCAGCACTGAAGTGGGAGGCTTGGGTATTGGCACACCACCCTCCATGCTCAAGCGGCAGAAGAAGCGGCGAGTGGCTTTGTCCCCTGTCACAGAGAACAGTGCCAGTATGTCATTTTTGGACTCCTGCAATAGCCTCACCCCTAAGAGCACACCTGTAAAGACTCTCCCCTTCTCACCCTCTCAGGTATGTATCCCTGGCTCAGGGTCTGACACATAAGCATGCACTGTTCAGCCAGTATTCACTGAGCAGCTGCTATGTGCCTGGCCCCGTGCTCCATGTTCAGAACTCAGGGATGTGCAGAAACAGATTTGGCCCTGCCCTTGGGGAGTTTACACTGTGGCAGGAAGACTCAACTGTGATAAGAGGTATGAAGGAGGTAGCTTGTGGTGCTGTGCATTCATCTAAGCTGGGGGGCCAGGAGGGCTTTCAGGAGGTGGAGCAACCAGTAGATGACTGCTGGGAGAAGATCCTGCTCTTTGACCACCTGTTCCACAGCAGCTTTGCCAGTACCCCAGGAAGCTGAGTTGCAAATGACAGCCCCCTTGGAGAGGTAGTCAGTACTGGGGACAGGCTCAAGGTAGTAAATGGGGAATGCTTAGTCATCAAGAGCTTGCAAAGAGCTAGCCAGGTCCTGGGTCTGTCTCCAGGGGCTTTGTAGTATATGTTGAGTGTTGGGGGAGCCAGGAAGGACGCCTGGTCTTTTCTAAGGGTCTGGGGAGGCACCCAAGCTTCCTAGAAAGCGGTGTTAGAGCTGGGACTCCTTTCCTCCATCACCTTGACCAAGAGTGAAATTGTTGGAAGAGGTGGGGGCAGGATGGGCCTTAGAGACTGGATGTATCCTAGGTTACATGTTGCCCTGGGGCAGTAGGAGGATAGGTAGGTCCTGTGTGCCTGGCCCCGTGCTCCATGTTCAGAACTCCCTAAACCTGACTGGTTGAGCTGAGACATGGGGTCTGGCCCTCTGTGAGGCTGTGGGGGCGTTCAGGCCCAACAGTGGCATAAAGCAGATGGGCCTCTGTCCTGGAGGGATTGAGGCTCAGATTATGGTTCGAAATGGCTGATGGTGTTTTCCTGGGGAAGTCCTGTTTCAGTTTGCCAGGTGTGTCATATTAAAGTACTATAGTCTGGGTGGCTTAGATGGCAGAAATGTGTTTTCCTTCAGTAGAAGCCCAGGATCAAGGTGTGAGCAGCCTTGGTTCTAAGGTCTCTTTCTGTCTTAACCTTTCCTCCACTGTGTGACACTGTCTAATCTTTTGTCTTTTTTCTTAAAATCCCTTATTTTATAATTTTCTTATAAGAACACCAATTGTATTGGGTTAGAATGGGTGAAGGCCCACCCTAATGTCTTTTTGAAAAATTAATTACCTTCTTAAAATTTGCATTTCCAGGCTGGGGTCCAGAAGTCAGCGGTAGCATATATGAGGCCCAGGTTTGATCTTCAGTACTGAAAAACAAAACTTAAGTCCTCATCTCCAAGTACAGTCCCATTCTGAAGTGCTGGGGTTTGGATGTCAATATGTGAGCCTGAGAGGGACATAGTTCAGTCCATGACACATTCTTGAGTGGGGGCCTGGGTGGAGAAGGAAGACAGAAGAGCTTTGGGCTGCCTAAGTAGCCCTGAGGGATGGGAGTGTGGCCGCTGTCCTCTGGAGATCCTGCCTGGGCTGGTGGGCCTAAGGCTACCTACAGGTAGCTCTCTAAGCTGGTGACAATCTCTCAGGCAGGGAGGGCTTAGGTGTAGATGTGCTTCAGATCACAGATGCCAGTTCTAGCTAGATTTGAGTCTGACATGTACAAGTATTTGATTTTCAAAGGGTGCTTGTGTCTCAGGATTCACAGGGACTAATAACTGTATCGAGTCTTAGTCTGTGCCTCCACAGGCCATTTCAAAGCTGTGTTTTACTTCTGGAAAGGAAGCATAGTCAGCTTTCTTTGTCTTACTGCACTGTGTCCCAGCTATGATTTGGGTGATTGTGAGCCCGGGCCTATACAGCTACTTGATGGGTTCTTGTCCACCTGTGCTGGTCTTTGCTGTTCAGCTGAATTGGCCTTAGGGCAGCTGTATTATGGGGAGGGGCTTCTGAAGGTTGCTCCTCTAGTCCCAGGGCCCCAGGGCCCACAGGTCATCCTGTCCTGTGTTCTCTTTTTCCTGGCAGTTCCTGAACTTCTGGAACAAACAGGATACTCTAGAGCTGGAGAGCCCCTCACTGACGTCCACTCCAGTATGCAGCCAAAAGGTGGTAGTCACCACGCCCCTGCACCGGGACAAGACACCCCTGCACCAGAAGCATGCTGCGTGAGTGCTGGCGTCCACCTGCCCCTCCCGTAGCAGTGGACGGTGTGTGTGCCTGAGGCAGTGGGGAGGACTCCTGGAAAA